TGTGCTCAATGCTCCGCGCGACGGCGACATCGAGTCTGTCGAGCAGATCATGCACATGGTGGTACAGATCCCGTTCCTGACCTACGCGCTCACATCTGTCACCTTTTTGGTCTTTATGGTCCTGAAGGTTGCTGGCCGCTACGGGCAGCGCACCCCGCTGGTGTACGTCTCCATCTGCTCGGTGGCCGGCTCGCTGACCGTGACCGCCTGCAAGGCCTTTGGAATCGCCCTGAAGCTGACCTTTGCCGGCAACAACCAGTTCGTGCATGTCAGCACCTACTTCTTTGCCGCCGTGGTCGTTGCGTGCATCATGGTGCAGATGAACTACTTCAACAAGGCGCTGGAGCAGTTTGACACGAACCTCGTAACGCCCATCTACTACGTGTTCTTCACGTCTGCCACCATCCTTGCATCGGTGGCGCTGTTCCAGGGCTTCACCGACTCGACGAACAAGGAGCTGGCCTCGTTGTTCTGCGGCTTCATGACTATCTTTATTGGTGTATTTCTTCTTAACAGCACGAAGGGAGATGCTGCTGCGCATGGTGGATGCAGCAGTGGACACCAGCCCCTGCCCACCGACGAACCCGAGCGCCTCAGCTACGACACACACGGCCGCCTCTCCATAGCGGCGCCGCTGCCTATAACATCTCCGATTTCGAGTGCGGCAGTGACGAGGGCGGCGACATCCATATCAACGACGAATCATATCCTCTCCGCGAGCGAGGAAACACCATTGATTCTGAGAAGGGACGTACCCTGAACCGCCGCCACACCTTCACCAAGACCCGCGCAACCGACACCATCGACCTGTCCGAGGACGATGGCTCGCCATCGACGTCGTCGCGCAGCAACTACGGTGCTCCGGTGTCGCCTGCATCCATGTCGAACGATGGCTCGTTGGAGGAGCTCCGGCATGGCCACCACAACACCACCAGCTTTGGGGATGTGCAGATAGATATCCCTGGGCCACCAGCATCTGCGCATCGCCGCAAGTCGTTGGCGTTCTGCCCATGAAATCGCTCGCATCTCCTTTCTTTTTTATATTTCTTTGTCTATATAGAGCCCAACTCCATGTCCTGTTAGCCAGCCCCGTAATGGGCACCGTGCGTCTCTCCCTTTCTCCCGATGCACTTCTGTTCTCAAAGTCTCATTCTATGAACGCTACCGCAAATCCTTTGGCGATACATGCGGTCGCATATGGCCTGACTGATATGTCCCCACCACCTGCGGTCCGAGATAATCAAGGCTAGATCAGCTGATATTTCTCGATGATAAGTGCAGCCCAGGGCGTCTAGGCCAGCTGGGCTATTTTGCGTGCAGGCAAAGAGCTGAGGCTCAATTTGGAGGACGTGGATTCCCTTCTTCGTTTTGAAACTCTCCTTCAATTTTGAATTTCACCACATCCGCACAATGATCTCTGCTGTTGCTCGTACCTCGATGCGCTCCCGCGCCGTTGCCCGTGTTGCCCGCTCGGACCACTTCCACTCGCCGAACGGCATGGTAAGGACACTTTGAGGAGAAATATAGGAAGGCGTGATTTCAGGACGATTTCGACCAGGCTTCATTTGCTGAAACACACCTTTATCTTCTGTAGCACCTCCCGTTCGACACCCAGAAGGGCGGCCTTCAAGTTTCCTGTACTGGGGCTCGTGCGCCTTCTTCTCGTCGCTCCCGTGCATTGCCGCCTGGTGGCAGCTGCGCAAGGGCAACGGCAACACCGAGTACTAAGTCGCCTGCCGCTTAGTAAGGGCCCTTTTCCGAGCACTAGGACATTCCCGTTTTGATGTAATCCCCGTCTTGTTCAAATACATGATCTGAAACGACATAGCAGCGGCTGGGGGCGTGGGATGCCAGCGAGACAGTGCTGTATCGCCTAGCAGAGTGTCGTGTATCTGAGATGTGTGATCAGCAGATTAGCCCAGATAACCTGTGCGTTTAGTTTTTTTTGGCTAAGCATGCCGACTGCTGCCTTCAATTTGAATGCACCGTCTCTCCAACCTCTATCAGCCCCTTTCTCCTCTTTTAATTTCAGCTTGCTCTGCGTGAATTCGCTTCCTCTGAGCTTCCATTCTTGCGGGACCACGTAATCAGAGCGCACGACCTTGAAATTCTCACATTCTAAACAGGACAGGCAGTGAACTGAAACCATGCTTACCCGTGTTCGATCTGCTCCGATCCGGAGCCTCGCGGCAGCGCCGCTTTCGCGGAGCATCCACATTGCGCAGGTCCTGCGCGAGACCGAGGGCAAGTCCGACCTGCCAACAGACGCAAAGCAGACCGAGGCAAAGGCTGAGGCGGCGGTGGCGACGACCACCGACGAGCCCAAGGTGATCGAAGTGAAGCCGGCAGATCCTTCGGCAGGCCAGCCCTCCACCGATGAGCCGAGACAGAGGTCGATTCGCGCTACCGGCTTCAAGAGGTGGCTGCGCAGCGACGGTGGCAAATACAAGAACGTGATGGGCGGGAAGACGAACTGGGTCGGTGGCACCGTGCCGTTCCCGCTGAACCCGGTGTTCCGCCCGTCGGCGCCGCTGCCAGACACGATCAAGGAGCAGATCTACAAGGACTACCGGGCTGACCCTCTGGCCAACACCCCGCGTGTGCTGGGCGAGAAGTACCAGGTGTCAATCAAGCGCGTCGAGGCGATCCTGAAGCTCAAAGCGATTGAGCACCAGATGATTGAGTACAAGCAGGGCGCGGCCCAGAAGAAGCTGACCGCCGCTATGGAGAGCATGCTGGGTGTTGGAACTGCCAAGAAGCTGCGCGAGGGGCTTGTTACAGAGATGCCTCGGGTGTCTGGCCCCCGATTCCACGCTGTGCCCGAGGGCAAGCCGTTCTCGGCCGCTGATGCCGCCGATGTGCTTGGCCGCAAGCCCTACCAGCATATCATCGACCGTCTGGCCGCCAGCAAGCCCTACGTGATTGAGTACGATGGGCTGGACGAGGAATTTGCCCCGCGTCCCCAGCAGAAGCTGAACAAGAGGGAGGCCAACAAGCTGGAGTCGCTGGGTCCTGCCGAGGACCAGGTTATCGCCAAGGACGAGGTGCTGGCGAGCAGGCGGTGGAAGTTTGTCTTCACGGACGTCGGCAAGGGTCTGGAGATGAAGGACCGCGAGGTGCTGATCCGTGAGACGGACGGAACCCTGAAGAAGGCTGGCAGAGAGTACAAGCTCAAGCGCTACGGCAAGGTCTGGTCCCACTAAATACACTCGTTCAAAATCCCACTTCTCTACAAAAAACATTTCGCAGATTCTCAAGTCAGGCTGGGGTGCTGCTGGTTCCGAAAGCGCGGGCTCGTGGGCTGGCTCTGATCATATGTTCCGGCTCGGCGAGCACAGGGGAAATTGCGGCAGATTTGCGTTGTGTGGAAATGGCCACATGCTGGCATCTCCTGCTCCGACAAACATGGAGCGATGTTCTGGGAATGCGCACACATACGGGTACTTGTAGATCCCCTCTGCCAACAGCAAGTGCCGGTATGGCAACAGAACCTTCTGCTGGTGTTTGTGGAAGGCGAAGCGCTTTCAGACTAGTCCATATTGAGATAGAATGATAGCACATGTGATGGTAGCACTCTCGCACTATTTCTTTCATACTACATGCCCGAGCTACGTGTCTGCTGTATGTTTTTATCGTCATTGGCCCAGCTATCCGATCACCTGTCGAGTCCCAGCAAACGACATTGCTGTGGTGCCTGGTTCAGTATGACTTTAGGTCGGAAATAGGAACTGACTAGAGCAGCTGGACTGTGGATGCCAGGACGAGAATCAATCCGGCTCACATCTCGTTTTTGCGACAAGCATGTTTTATTGCAATTCTGGCAGATCCCCCTAGCCATGCGCTCACATGCTATACATCCACATGCTCGAAATTCGTTTCATGGATGCTTATTCTTCAGAGCACACCGACATCCATTCCCGAGTTTCCAAAGAAACAGGGACTATTTGGGGGTATCTAGTGTCTACTATTTGGCCAAACTACAAGCACATGCAACTGTTGAGCGGAATGGACAGGAGGTACATTTCCTGCCATGAGTAAATCGCCTATGAATCCACCACTGCCATGGGCTGCTCACTCGCTAGCATCGACATGATCCGAGCCACACAATTATTCCCCTCTATTCTCAGCCCGTAAAAGGAGCCAAGTAAGCGTAGGCACTTTTAGAAAACTTCCAAGTTCCAAGTGTGTTTTACAGAAACCATCGGTTGCAATGTGGAGCATCGTTTATGGCCGTTCGGCTAGAAAACACCAGAATTCTGGCTGTCGACGCCATACAGAATTAGACCAGCGAACAGCCAATCCTCTATTATCGCTTTTTATTTCCTTTTGCATTAATATTATGCAGTTCAAGACACTCATCACTGGTGCTGGTCTGGCACTCAGCATGTCTGTCGGTGGTTGAACTGGATCCAACCTCTTCTCGACTATTTTGAAGAACACCGCAACACGCACCGCGTTCCTGAACAACATGGTCAGCTCTGTGCAGACAAACAACCTCGATGGTGTTGATATCGACTGGGAGTACCCGGGACGTGAGGGTAATACCTGCAATGCATATGATCCGGCGAACGATTCGAAAAACTTCCTCTCCTTCCTGCAAGACCTGCGTGCCAAGCTGGATTCGACCTTTGGTGCCGGAACCAAGCTCATCACCATGGCTGTCCGTGTTCAGCCTTTCGATGGTCCCAACGGCCCGATGAAGGATGTCTCTGCGTTTGCCAAGGTCACCGACTATATCAACCTGATGCAGTACGACATTAACGGCTCGTGGAACTCCACCACAGGCCCGAATGCTCCTCTGCAGTATGCCCCAGGCAAGGGTGAGCAGGTCTCATTCGCCACTGCTATCTCTGCTTGGTCCGCTGCTGGATGGCCTACTTCCAAGATGGGCGCTGGAGTACCTTTCTATGGTCGCAGCCTGACAGCCACCGCAAACATGCTGAACAATCTATCTAAGATATACGCCCAATTCTCACCTACTGCTCCTAAGGGCGACCAGGAGGATGAGCTGGGGGTTGATACCTGCGCCGGTGGACCTGCTGTCTACTCAGGTGACTGGAGATACAGATGCCTGCGTGATCAGGATCTACTCTCTAACCCGACTACTGCAGTGGCTCCTTGGGTTTGCACCTGGGACAACACCACGTCCACGCCTTGGCTGTTCAACCCGAATACCAATGTCTTCATTTCGTACGATGATCCGCAGAGTCTCAAGGCAAAGGTCGACTACGCTGCTGCTAAGGGTCTAGCTGGTACCATGCTGTGGAGCATGGAGATGGACTATAACAACGAGCTGCTGGATGTGCTGAACAGCTTCCCTAGCGGCGGATCTACCACCGGCAAGAACCCGGCTTACTTTATCTGCAACAACAGTGCCTGGCTAGCACAGTCTTGTGGTTCAGGAACCGCGTGCTTCCAGTCTGGGTCTTCGATTTATTGCAACTGGCCTCCGGCTTAAGTGCAAGTAAGCTGCACAGTTCGCAACAGATGGTTGCTAGCAGGAGAGAATTCTAATAAATATCCCTCTGCTGAACCCCTTCATTCTTGGCCATGATAAAGGCAGTGGATTGAATACAAATTTCGCTGTTAGCAAGGTTGGACGCTATGAAGCATCGATTTGTTGCAATGTGCAATGCTGCCAACATGACAGGTTCTGGTCTCGTTTTTCATAAGATTACCGCAAGCCTGTTTCAATAGCCACCATGCATTGGCGGTCCAAAAGGCTCGCTTGTTTGATGTACACCCCTGTTGAAACTCCAGCTGCAAGGTTCAATTACAGTGAGCAGACAGATGGAGACAAAAGCTGAATGATAAACTGTCGTTGAGGTCACGCTGTCCTATGCATTTCCGCTATTTCTCCTTAATGTCCTCTTTACGCGGATTCAGGCTTATAACCATATTTTTCCTAGATCGTGCCTTGGCCGGACCCAGTCTTCTCGGTGCTTTAATGGCCATCTATCCCGAGCAATTCACACCCAATGGTATCAACGGGGGCATCAAACGGAGTTGACAGCGGGCATCTTTACGGGGTGGATAGAAGCCAAGCACATGTGGCAGATTGCCAAGATATGGTAGACACATTCTTCTATCACACAGCTGGATAATTAGATGGATGCCTTCTCTTCGATATCCAGCTATAATTCCCAACCGCAGAAGCCTATATAAAGTGTAAGCGAGCCCGCTCACTTTTTCACTCTCGCTACAACACAACCTAGTTAACATAATCTGTCTTTAAAGCACCTACTACTCTCTCCAATCTATAATGCAGTTCAAGACGCTCATCACTGCTGCTGGTCTGGCACTCAGCATGACTGTCGGCGTTCTAGGCCGTGCCAACGTCGTCGGCTACTATCCCAATTGGGTTACTATGCCTTCTTTGACTCTATCCAAGTACACCCATATCAACTTTGCCTTCGCGATTCCTAAGGCTGATGGTTCCCTGAAGTACGACAACCAGTCTGATATGCCAGGCCTTGTCACCAATTTCCACAACGCTGGTGTTAAGGCTCTCATCTCGATTGGTGGCTGGACTGGATCCAACCTCTTCTCGACGATCCTCAAGAACACTACTACTCGTACTGCGTTCCTGACCAATATCATCAACTATGTGAAAAAGTACAACCTCGATGGTGTTGACATCGACTGGGAGTACCCTGGCCGCGAGGGTGATACCTGCAACGTATACGATCCGAACAATGACACCAACAACTTCCTCTCCTTCCTGCAAGATCTGCGTGCCAAGCTGGACTCGACCTTTGGAACGCGTGCCAAGCTCATCACCATGGCAGTCCGTGTCGAGCCTTTCGATGGTCCAAATGGTCCTATTTCTGATGTCTCTGCGTTTGCCAAGGTCACCGACTATATCAACCTGATGCAGTACGACATCAATGGAAACTGGGATTCGACCACAGGCCCTAACGCTCCTCTGCAGTATGCCCCAGGCAAGGGTGAGCAGTTTTCATTCGCCACTGCTATCGCTGCCTGGACTAGTGCTGGATGGCCAGCCTCTCAGATGAACGCCGGCATGCCTTTCTACGGCCACAGTACGACAGCTTTGTCAAACATGCTGAACAACCCGTCCAACATGTATGTGCAGATTTCGACGACTGTTCCTAAGGGCGACCAGGAGGATGAGCCGTGGGCCGATACTTGCGCCGGTGGACCTGCTGTCTACTCAGGTGACTGGCAGTACAAGCATCTTCGCGACCAGGGTCTACTCTCTAACCCAACCACTGCAGTGGCCCCTTGGGTTCGCACCTGGGACAACACCACGTCCACACCTTGGCTGTTCAACCCAAGCACCAACATCTTCATTTCGTACGATGATCCGCAGAGTCTCAAGGCAAAGGTCGACTACGCTGCTGCCAAGGGTCTAGCTGGCACCATGCTGTGGAGCATGGAGATGGATTATAACAACGAGCTGCTGGATGTGCTGAACAGCTTCCCTAGCGGCGGATCTACCACCACAGCGACTACCCCAGGAACCAGTTCCACGGCAACGCAGCCTGGAACTACCTCGGCTACCAAGAGCGCTACCACCGGTGTTCCCCCTGTGACCTCATCTACCTCGTCCGCTCCGGCTACCAGCTCCTCAACCAATACCGGTGGACCGGTTGCTGGTGGACCTTGCAGCACTGGTGGTGCGTACCAGTGTGCCGACACCACCGGCAAGAACCCGGCTTACTTTATCTGCAACAACGGTGCCTGGCTGGCACAGTCTTGCGGTTCAGGAACCGCGTGCTTCCAGTCTGGGTCTTCGATCTATTGCAACTGGCCCTCGGCTTAAACTATTGTCAAGCTTTCTTAGTTGACGAATTTGTGATACCGGTCATTACAGACTGAATAAACCACTCTTGTCATTGCACATTATCTCCTATTCTTGGGTGTACAGCGTGGTGCAGTAGGTGAAAATAGAAGGCTGGATGCATTCAGTTGTGCTACGCACCGACCGCTGAAGGCACCAATATCCAGACCTGACCAGGCCACCATCCAGGCAGAATACAATCCCTCCTTTTCATGATTTTCGTAGAACCTTTTCTCGAAGCTGCCATGCGTACAGACCTGATCTCCATGCTCATCCACTTTGCCACTGTGGAATTGGCATTCCTTGTGAATATTAGCGGGCAGCACAGATGCAGCAAGGTATGAAAACCAATGGAAAAGGGGTAGCTATCAGAAAGGAGAGGGCGGACCGTTCTCGAGGTCACGCTGTTTTGTGCATTTTCGTCAATTTTTCCTTCGTAAATGCATGGGAACACAGGTGCAATAAGCATATTCTGGCCAGTCAGTATCCTGTTTGAATCCTGTTGCCTCGGCATTTGTATCTATCCAACATCGGCCCTTTCCAATCCTACAGCAAGAACGAGGATGCCGAACGGAGCAAATAACGGACTTCTTTACGGCAAATAGAGGTGAAAGGGACCGCCAGATGGAACCATGTGGTGATTGGCCAAGGCAAGGCAAGTGCTCTTCGCTATCTACGGATAATGATTTAGTAGAGTACCTGATAATACCTCTACACTTCCATTCAAGGCAATATATGCCGGAGACAGGCTATATAAACCGCCTCCTGGACCACCCGTCAAGCAACAACTACACCAAACAACAACCTAGTTGATCTCGTCTTTTTAATAGCCTTATAATTCTAATACCTTTACTTTCAACGATGCAGTTCAAGACGCTCATCACTGCTGCTGGTCTGGCACTCAGCATGACTGTCGGCGTTCTAGGCCGTGCCAACGTCGTCGGCTACTACGCCAACTGGGTTAACATGCCCGCCCTCACTCTTTCCAAGTACACCCACATCAACTTTGCCTTCGCGATTCCCAAGGCCGACGGCTCCCTTCAGTACGACAATGTGGAAACAATCCCTGGCCTGGTTTCTGGTTTCCATGCTGCTGGAGTCAAGGCGCTGGTGTCTGTCGGTGGTTGGACTGGATCCAACCTCTTCTCGACTATTTTGAAGAACACCGCAACACGCACCGCGTTCCTGAACAACATGGTCAGCTTTGTGCAGACAAACAACCTCGATGGTGTTGATATCGACTGGGAGTACCCGGGACGTGAGGGTAATACCTGCAATGCATATGATCCGGCGAACGATTCGAAAAACTTCCTCTCCTTCCTGCAAGACCTGCGTGCCAAGCTGGATTCGACCTTTGGTGCCGGAACCAAGCTCATCACCATGGCTGTCCGTGTTCAGCCTTTCGATGGTCCCAACGGCCCGATGAAGGATGTCTCTGCGTTTGCCAAGGTCACCGACTATATCAACCTGATGCAGTACGACATTAACGGCTCGTGGAGCTCCACCACAGGCCCTAACGCTCCTCTGCAGTATGCCCCAGGCAAGGGTGAGCAGGTCTCATTCGCCACTGCTATCTCTGCTTGGTCCGCTGCTGGATGGCCTACTTCCAAGATGAACGCAGGTGTGCCATTCTATGGTCATAGTGTGAAGGCTTTGTCAAACATGCTGAACAACCCGTCCAACATGTACGCCCAGTTCTCACCTACTGTTCCTAAGGGCGACCAGGAGGATGAGCCGTGGGTTGATACCTGCGCCGGTGGACCTGCTGTCTACTCAGGTGACTGGCAGTACAAGCATCTTCGCGACCAGGGTCTACTCTCTAACCCAACCACTGCAGTGGCCCCTTGGGTTCGCACCTGGGACAACACCACGTCCACGCCTTGGCTGTTCAACCCGAATACCAATGTCTTCATTTCGTACGATGATCCGCAGAGTCTCAAGGCAAAGGTCGACTACGCTGCTGCCAAGGGTCTAGCTGGCACTATGCTGTGGAGCATGGAGATGGACTATAACAACGAGCTGTTGGATGTGCTGAACAGCTTCCCTAGCGGCGGATCTACCACCACAGCGACTACCCCAGGAACCAGTTCCACAGTGACTACCCCAGGAACCAGTTCCACGGCAACACAGCCTGGAACTACCTCGGCCACCAAGAGCGCTACCACCGGTGTTCCCCCTGTGACCTCATCTACCTCGTCCGCTCCGGCTACCAGCTCCTCAACCAATACCGGTGGACCGGTTGCTGGTGGACCTTGCAGCACTGGTGGTGCGTACCAGTGTGCCGACACCACCGGCAAGAACCCGGCTTACTTTATCTGCAACAACGGTGCCTGGCTGGCACAGTCTTGCGGTTCAGGAACCGCGTGCTTCCAGTCTGGGTCTTCGATCTATTGCAACTGGCCTTCTTCGTAAATAACCAATACCTCCTGGTTTTGGTTAAGCGAGTACTTTTAATAATATTTTTGCTCAAAAAATCTTGCAACTATGCGGTCTATGTACGCCCGAAAACGTCACAATAGTGGTTCATTGTTCCCGCTCTTTTGCATAGTAATCCACGCATTACCAAAACTAGCATTTATAGATCATGCTACAAACAATGTCGAGTAGAGTGCTATGTGTAATCATAGACGGTGAGCCGCTTAGGTCACAGATTTGAATCCTTCTGAGAATTGCTACCCCATATATTCCCTTCTTCCCATCCCTTCTTTCCCTATCTTTAATATTTTCAAATATGCATGGTTTTATATTTTTATCCTCCGCCTTTGATGTCATTTGAGTTCCCGCCGTTCGAGAAGTCGCGAGTCGAAACCGCGGCACTCTTCAATGTAAGCCTGGATCCGGTCAGCCACACTGATATGTCGACAATTATTGAAATCAGCGTGGTCTATGCACTGGACCTTTTTGCGCTTATCTACCTGCTCATTCACCGCAGCTACCCTTTGATAAATGCTAAAAGCGCTTGCAGTATAATAACCCTCTGCATGACGGTTGTGGTATGGTCTGTAGGGGGTATTTCAACTGGTGGAATGGTACATCTTTATACTAACGGCATCTTGAGAAGCTGCAAACTGACCCTTCTCTGGTTTAGATTAGGACTTGGGGCTACATATATTGCCACCATTTTCAGCGTGCGTAGCTATTCCCTATACCGTGTGTTTTGCCAAGGCAGGCTGTCTACATAAACGGTCATGCAGATTAGTTGCGCGCTTGATTTTTGCTGGGTGGCCCTATTTCCACGGTGTCTTTTCTATTGCCCGAGCGAATGTCCATTTACTATAAGAATGCACTTGTGCTATGTTAACAGGTAATATTCTATTCTTTCCATCGGAATGACCTGCTGCTTTTTAGTATTTGTTTCTGTCAACACTTGGCGGCTTCGAGGCATACTATTCGCACTCAATAAGTTCTGAGAGGTCATCACCGCCATGGCCATAGTCGGCGTGGTGACCATTGCCAATTCACTGCCTCTATTATCTGTCAAGCCCTATCCAGCTGGCGCTGCTTGGAGGAACTCGCTCGTCTACATTGACCACGTATGTGCTAATATAGGCTTTTGGATTATCATGTGGGAGTCATTCTACCAGTGCCTTACGCGTCGCGATGAATATCTTGAATATTGGACAGATACACTGGTGGAAGGCGGTATAGAAGGCGCCTATAGCCTTACTAGCCGGTTTGCTGACGACACACATAGCTTAATTAGAGGGGCAGAGCGGGGCATTGCATGCAGCCCGAAGAAGGACATGCACGTTGGTACCTACCACATTCCAGGAACCTTGTTGGAGCTGTGCCTTGCCAATAAAGTTTCGCACGACTGAAATAATGTGCCCAGAATCAGAAACCGCAATCGTTTTGCACGCCTTCTGGGATACAGCTCTCCCAGTTCGCACTGGCCCTTTCGCACAGAACTAATAAAACAGTGGTATTCCAAGTACACCCCAGTGCTGGTTGTAAGCTATTGATATTTTTATAAGATAATGGCGATAGTGAAGCTGGTGTGGCTCTTCGGTGCCTAAACTGCGTGTTCGCCACGGGCGGCAGCCAAAAGTGCACGCTCGCGACGGCGGGCCAGGCGGCGCTCGACCTTTCCGCGAACCAGTGACCGCATACCAGTGAGCAGCTCGGTCATGTTGTGCTGGAGACAAAAGTCCTCACAGACTTGATCAATGTTATCGTTGGCACGTAGCTGCAGTAGCTTGCGACCGTTCTTGGGTGTCTCGATGTTGAGCTCCATCAGGACATCCCTCGGACGCTTGATGGCAGACCGCTGGATACCCGACGCACTAGGGCGAGGGATATCTCTGGGCGCAATTCCCGCTCCTTGCTCAGGCATTACACCATGGTCCCTGAAGTTCTCAGGGAATGCAGGTGTCGAGAACGTGGACAGCGGCATGCTGCGCTGTGGTACAACCTGGTCATAGTATGCCTGTTCAGGAGTAGCTTCGAACTGTACGCTCTTGCTTGATGGAGACATGGCAGCTGCGCTACCCGAAGGGATTCCAGGAAGAGGCTCAGTCGGGACAGCTGAGAATTCGTCAGTGGTCTCCTGCTGAAGTGCAGATACGTCCCTGGTCGATTCGGACAGACCCCTGTGTCCCGCGTCAATGCCGGGAATAGAGTCAGGGTGTAATGCTTCCTGGGTTTCACGAGGCACGCTGGGACTCTGGTCGTTAGATGGCGTGCTGGCGTCGGCCTGGGCAGCTGGGACAGGGAGCGGGGCCATTGTGGCCTCACCCTCTTCCCGCCCCTGGCTATCGACAGACTCTGCATCAACCATTTCGACGGTCCCCACGACCGTAGGCTTCGTAGCCGTTTCCTGCTCATCAAACAACGGAGGGGTAATGCCCGCCTGCGCCTCGGACTGCGGAATGCCTCGCTGCAAGATCTCCTTAGCAGCATTTTCGGATAATGTAGTCGCCAGATCTATATCGGTAGGTGGTGCTGTAATGTCAGCACCTCGATCTGTCGGAACGCTTGGCTGGCCAGCAATCGCAGCGATTGTCGCGGCAACCGTTTCAGCCTGCGGTTCCTGACTGGACTCCACTGGCTCGTAAGGGGAGGCAGGGGAGGCAGGAGACGAGGAAATTGCCTCATCCGCTTCGACAGCCTCGGGCTCAGAGCTGGGGGCCACATTACTGGAGTGGGCAGCACTAGCTTTTGCAGTGGCAATCTCGGCTTCAGCAGGCTCACTCGGTATCTGGTCACCAGTAGCAGCAACAGAAACAGCGTCCTTTTTCACATCGGCATCGGCGAATCCTTCGTCAACCTCGTCTTGGGCACCTGGAGTTGAGTTGGATACAGCATCCTGGTCAGACTCCACGGGTTCGGATTGATCTGCTGGATCGATCTCATCCAAGATAACGTCAGCTGGCGACTCCGCGATCGTGTCCTTAGCCATAGGCTCACTTGCCTCACCCAAGGTGTTGTCTGTTTCTGTTGGCTCAATCGCACCCGGCTGCTCAATAACGCCGGGTTGCTCAGTAACGGCCTGCTCCGTAGCGGCCAGAGGTTCAGCAGAACTGGGCTCCCTAGTATCAACCGGCTCCTCAGCAGGGGCGGGGAGTACATCCATTTCACCACTAGTTGCCTGGCCCTCAACAGGGGCTGCATGCTGCTCCATCACAACAGCTGCAGACTCTTGAACAGCAGGCACCTCGATGATAGAGTTAGCTACTGGTGAAGGGGTCTCCTCGGTCGCATGCACCTCCTTGGCAAGGCTAGGATCCTCTGGCGCAACAGGTACATCAGCAGCAGGAGTGATCTCCTCAACGAGTGGCTCACCCACAGCGGGCGCATCCTCAATCGCGTTGTCCACAACAGAATCGACGGCCGGCTTCGCAGAAACATCAGTAGCTACCTCCTTGGCAACATCTGCTGAACCATTGCCAGATTCTGGTGCCTTTTCGGCAGCAGGAGCATCGGCTGTTCCATGGCCCTCGTCTGCGATCCCGCGGTCACGGGTCTCTGCATCCGAAGTGGACACATCGGTAGTGGTAGCAGCAGCCGTGAGCTGGTCAACACCTTGTTTAGCTGCGACAACCGTCTCCTCGACAGCAGCAGTATCACTGATCGTGCCGTCCTCCACATTAGCCGATCCAACAGAAATCGCCGGCTCATTGGTTGTAGCAGGCTTGTCACCCTCAATCTCCTCTGCTTCAACATGTGTCTCGTCAGCCACAGGTGCGTCTGCTGTAATGGCGGTATCTTCCACACCAATATCCCGAGATGCTGCCTCCTGTGCAGCAGGCTGCTCAGCAACAAATTCCCCGACTGTGCTAGGTTCCTCAGATTTGATAGGCGACTCGGCGGCCATGACGGCTTCATCCGCACCTGGTGTCTCCCCGCCAGGTGTAGTCACGCCCTTGGCTGCAATGGCCTCCGCAGCAGACATCTCGTCAACAGGAGCATCAGAGATCCCATGTACCTCGGCCGTGCTAGGCTCCATGATGCTGGCATCCTTCTCGGCGTCTACTGCGTTTTCGGCTGCAATATCCTCGGCGACTGCAGACTCCTCAGCACTAGCGGGCATCTCAGTAGTCTCCGGAGCTTCTCTAGCGGTTTCTGGCTGCTCCACAGTAGGCTTGCCAGAATCAACAGCGGTATCCTCAACGGTGGTCTGCTCAGCCGCGATCTTTTCGGACTCAGTAGACGGCTCCTCGACAGCAGCCGGTGCTTCAGCGTCAACGGGTGCCTGGCCATCGATGAGCCCTTCTGTGGAAGCAGGAGCAGATGCACTTGCCTCTGCAATCTCCTCAACTGCAGGCTCAGCTGCAACGCACCCGTCAGCAATGGCAGTAGCATCTTCAGACACGGCATCGTGCCCAAGTGCAGGAGCTTCATCAGCAGGAACAGAGACATCTTCAGACACTGGAATGCCGGAAGCAGCGGTCAGGTCCTTAGCCGCAGTCGCTTCGGTAGCTGTGGGATCGCCAGCAACTGGCGTGTCTTTGGCGCTTGCCTCCTCCGTGGTAGGGATAGAAGCATCCTCGGGAACAGTGGTCTCCTTAACAGCAGCAGTACCTTCCTCAGGCGAGCCCACCTTCGCAGTTGTATCAGATTCGACTGCAAGTGTCTCATCAGCTGCAGCATGCTCTTCGGTAGTGGGCGGCGGCTCGGTCGCAAGTATCGCCTCAGCAGGGACTGGAGTTTCCTCAGCAGCAGGCTCTTCAGCGGCGCTAGGTGTAGGATCTTCAGCAGCAAGTGGCTCATCCATGTCAGTTGTAGAAACCTCTGTGCCAGCAGGTAGGTCGGCGGTATCTGCGATCTTCTTGATAGCTGTTTCATCGGATGCGGGCTCCTCAGTCGGTGCGATTATCTCCTCTGCGGCAGCAGGGCTCTCTTCAGTTGTAGCGGGCTGTTCAGTAGCAGGTGCAGTATCCATGCTCGTAATAGGGGTTGTATCAGCAGCAGGCTCTTTATCGACAGCAGTAGTAGATTGGTTCTCAGCCGCAGCTGGCTGTTCGGTGATAAGCACGTCAACCGTGGACTCATCGACTGGAGAAGGTACATCTGTGGTAGTAGGTGCTTCAATCACAGGCTGTTTCGGTAAAATGACGTTGTCAGCTGTTGCAGGGGTGTCGTCAGTGACACTCTCCTCGGCAGTTGCAGACATTTGCTTGACAGCAGCCTCCTCGACAGCAGCCTCCTCAGTGGTGGTGAGCTCCTCGGCAGCAGCGGGCTCTTCAGTCTCAGCAGGTTCCTCAGCAGTAGGCTCCATGGCGGCAGACTCCTCGGCAGCAGCAGGCTCTTCGGCAACAGTGGGCTCTTCAGCCTCAGCAGTAGGCTCCATGGCGGCAGACTCCTCGGCAGCAGCAGGCTCTTCGGCAACAGTGGGCTCTTCAGCCTCAGCAGGCTCCTCGGTGGCAGGCCCCTCGGTGGCAGGCCCCTCGGTGGCAGGCCCCTCGGTGGCAGCCTCCTCGACAGCAGCCTCCTCGACAGCAGCCTCCTCAGTGGCAGTGAGCTCCTCGGCAGCAGCGGGCTCTTCAGTCTCAGCAGGTTCCTCGACAGCAGCGGGATCTTCAGCCTCAGCAGGTTCTTCGACAGCAGGCTCCTCGGTAGCAGGCTCCTCGGTAGCAGGCTCCTCGGTGACAGGCTCTTCGACAGCAGCAGGCTCTTCAGCTTTAGCAGCCTCCTCAGTGGCGGCGGCCTCCTCAGCCTTAACAGGTTCCTCGGAAGTAGGCTCCATGGCAGCAGCCTCCTCGGCAGCAGCAGGCTCTTCGGCAGCAGTGGGCTCTTCAGCCTTAGCTGGTTCCTCAGC